TTAAACATGCTTCAAATCGCTTTAAACTATTGTCATTGTAGTGCGTATTTAATGTGGCGCTGCACTCTGATGTTGTAGGAGAAAACATTTATTTAAAAATATATTTAATTAAGTAGAACGTGTTGTCTATATTTATTTAAAGTTGCGCATTTTGATGTGACGTCACATTTCTCAACCCCCCCCTCGTCACAAATGTCTGACCCCCCCTAGGTGCGTGACGTCATTTATGGACAGCCCCTAACGTATCCGAACCCTAACACTATTTAACATTAACCATATCTCTAACACTAACCCTACCTCTAAAACTAACGTTACCTCTCGACCCCTAACTTTAAACCCAGATGTAATATCACCCTAATCTCCAATACTCATAATACACACGATACCGACCTTATTTCTACTATTACTCATCCTCAGAGTAATCCCTACGTCCATAACGCAAACATTTTCTTTGGTTCTTTCGGTAAAGTCACGTAGAATGAGAATAATATAATAAATTGATAAAATAAAATAACACAATAATATTCTCACGACGTTTCGGCCACAACTTTACCGAAAGAACCAAAGAAGATGAATCATTGCAGTCACGAAAGCTTTAAATCGAAATTTAACGCAAACATTATCTATCTCTATCCAAACCCTGTTGTAAACCACACACCAAAAAAAAACACGTGCCCCAAAGCATTCAGCATTTGTCCATAATGCAAAAAAAACCATCAACAGTTGGCTGAATTACTGAATTGTGTGACCCTCTTGTTTCAGGACAAACATCAGAACACGTTCGCGTAAATGTGACCGACTCTACAGCAGCAGTGACACGGATACAACCGTGGATCGGTTTCATACTTTTTTCCGACTCATCAGCACAGCGTAATCACCAGTGCACACCACGAGGTCCATCGTCAGCTTGGCCCATGCCAATAATCATCAACCCACCCCCCCTTAGAACCCCTCCAACCCCCCACGCCCCTCCAAGCCCTACACCCCGACTATTACGACTTCCGAATAGCCTGGAACTGAATCCGAGATCGGGTGAAGATGGACGGATGTGTAATGTTGACGCTGGTGAGATCTTTCCAAAGCTGAGCAGCAGCAGTAGCAGCAACAGCAGTAGCAGTATCTGCAGCAGTACCCCCCACCCCATCATTGCGCCCCCTATAGCAGGAGCAGCAGCAGCAGCAGCGTCAACAAGCCAGCATCAGCAGCAGCGTGGAAGAGGCTCGGCTCATTCACGCGTGGTGTGTGTAGGGGGAGACAGGGAGCAGAGAGAAACACCACAGCGAGAGAGAGAGAGAGACGAGAGACACGGAGCACACGCGCACAGAGAAAGAGACACACACACAGAGAGACGCACACGCACAGAGAGAGACACACACGCACAGAGAGAGACACACACAGAGAGACACAGAGAGAGAGTCACACACAGAGACACGCACACACAGAGAGAGACACACACGCACAGAGAGACACACGCATAGAGAGAGAGACACACACAGAGAGACACACACACACAGAGAGACACACACGCACAGAGAGAGACACACAGAGACACACGCACACAGAGAGACACACACACACGTGTCTCACGTAGCTCACGTGAGCCACGCGCGCACAGACTTGAGACAGACACGGATTGTACCTTGAGACAACGCTCGCACGGAGACAGACAACCCCGTTGGTGGCGTGGGCACGTAAGAGACACGCCGGAGCAGACACGCGACATCGACTTGGAGACACGGAGCCAGAGAGAAGCTAGCACGCACGAACGCACAACGACAATCGACTCCGGGCGCGGGACAAGAGGACAAATCGCACGCGGAGACTTTAAAGAAGACGCAGCAGGTTGACTCGAGACGCGGACGCGACGAAGCAGAGAGGGCGAAGAGTCGAGACGAGAGCCGAGATAAGACGCAGACTCGAGAGACACCGAGCGAGGAGAAAGACGACACATGGGAGACACGATCGGATAGACAAGTAGCAGCACCAGCACCACCAGCAAACCCCGGGGGGTTCTTGAGACGCGGAGTAGCCAGGCACACGCGTCGACTTAGAGCGGAGAGACGGACACGCACACGCGTAAGGCACCTAACAAGACGCGCACACGGACACACACACTCACACACACGCACACGCGTAAGGCACCTAACAAGACGCACTCACACACACGGACACGCACGCACGGACACGTACAGACACAGACACACACGCACACACAAGGACACACTCACACGGACACGCGTAAGGCACCTAACAAGACACACAGACACACACGGACACACACGCACGGACACGCACAGACACGGCGAGAGAAATCCACAGGCAAACAAACGACTCTGCGCTTCATTAGGCATGCATAGGGATCAGGCCATGTGTCACTAGGCAGTATAGAGTCACTAGGCAGTATAGTATGTGTCACTAGGCAGTATAGAGTGTGTCACTAGGCAGTAAAGAGTCACTAGGCAGTATAGAGTGTGTCACTAGGCAGTAAAGAGTCACTAGGCAGTAAAGAGTCACTAGGCAGTATAGAGTGTGTCACTAGGCAGTAAAGAGTCACTAGGCAGTATAGAGTGTGTCACTAGGCAGTAAAGAGTCACTAGGCAGTATAGAGTCACTAGGCAGTATAGAGTGTGTCACTAGGCAGTAAAGAGTCACTAGGCAGTAAAGAGTCACTAGGCAGTATAGAGTGTGTCACTAGGCAGTAAAGAGTCACTAGGCAGTATAGAGTCACTAGGCAGTGTAGAGTCACTAGGCAGTATAGAGTCACTAGGCAGTATAGTGTCACTAGGCACTATAGAGTGTGTCACTAGGCAGTGTAGTATGTGTCACTAGGCAGTATAGAGTCACTAGGCAGTATAGAGTCACTAGGCAGTATAGAGTCACTAGGCAGTATAGAGTGTGTCACTAGGCAGTATAGAGTCACTAGGCAGTATAGAGTGTGTCACTAGGCAGTATAGTGTCACTAGGCAGTTTAGAGTGTGTCACTAGGCAGTATAGTGTCACTAGGCAGTATAGAGTGTGTCGCTAGGCAGTATAGTGTCACTAGGCAGTATAGAGTCACTAGGCAGTATAGAGTGTGTCACTAGGCAGTATAGTGTCACTAGGCAGTATAGAGTCACTAGGCAGTATAGAGTCACTAGGCAGTGTAGAGTCACTAGGCAGTGTAGTGTCACTAGGCAGTATAGAGTGCGTCACTAGGCAGTATAGAGTGCGTCACTAGGCAGTATAGAGTGTGTCACTAGGCAGTATAGTGTCACTAGGCAGTTTAGAGTGTGTCACTAGGCAGTATAGAGTGTGTCACTAGGCAGTATAGTGTCACTAGGCAGTGTAGTGTCACTAGGCAGTATAGAGTGTGTCACTAGGCAGTATAGTGTGTCACTAGGCAGTATAGAGTGTGTCACTAGGCAGTATAGAGTCACTAGGCAGTATAGAGTGTGTCACTAGCCAGTATAGAGTCACTAGGCAGTATAGAGTCACTAGGCAGTATAGAGTCACTAGGCAGTATAGAGTCACTAGGCAGTATAGAGTGTGTCACTAGGCAGTATAGAGTCACTAGGCAGTATAGAGTGTGTCACTAACCAGTATAGAGTCACTAGGCAGTATAGAGTCACTAGGCAGTATAGAGTCACTAGGCAGTATAGAGTCACTTGGCAGTATAGAGTCACTAGGCAGTATAGAGTGTGTCACTAGGCAGTATAAAGTCACTAGGCAGTGTAGAGTCACTAGGCAGTGTAGAGTCACTAGGCAGTATAGAGTCACTAGGCAGTATAGAGTCACTAGACAGTATAGTGTGTGTCACTAGGCAGTATAGAGTGAGTCACTAGGCAGTATAGAGTCACTAGGCAGTATAGAGTCACTAGGCAGTATAGAGTCACTAGGCAGTATAGAGTCACTAGGCAGTATAGAGTGTGTCACTAGGCAGTATAGAGTCACTAGGCAGTATAGTGTCACTAGGCAGTATAGAGTCACTAGGCAGTATAGAGTGTGTCACTAGGCAGTATAGAGTCACTAGGCAGTATAGTGTCACTAGGCAGTATAGAGTCACTAGGCAGTATAGAGTGTGTCACTAGGCAGTATAGTGTCACTAGGCAGTATAGAGTCACTAGGCAGTATAGTGTCACTAGGCACTATAGAGTGTGTCACTAGGCAGTATAGAGTCACTAGGCAGTATAGAGTCACTAGGCAGTATAGAGTCACTAGGCAGTATAGAGTGTGTCACTAGGCAGTATAGAGTCACTAGGCAGTATAGAGTGTGTCACTAGGCAGTATAGAGTGTGTCACTAACCAGTATAGAGTCACTAGGCAGTATAGAGTCACTAGGCAGTATAGAGTCACTAGGCAGTATAGAGTGTGTCACTAGGCAGTATAGAGTCACTAGGCAGTATCGAGTGAAGCTCAGCGCTGTTACTCCTAATAAGGTATTTTGATGCGACTTGACCTCGCCACTTGAGTCGGGTTGCTACCGGCGTGTGCCAAAGCCGGGCTACCGATGCGTTTCATGTGCGTGTACAATATCCAGTACCGCGTGAGTGACTTGGTTGTATGATATTGCACGTGTGTAGTCGTATGTGAGGCATAGGCAGCATACACAGTAAGAGGTTGTTCGAGGTTGGAACGTACAGCAGCACCACACAACACGTGCTTGTGTATATGCTGCGTGTCAGCAGCACGTGCACCTGTAGTTACAGTTACTGCCATCATCATATGTAGTGTTGGATTACAGTCCCGTGTGTGTGTGTAGTTATGTATACACACGTGGTAGGCGGTTATGCAGTGGGCGCGTGTGTGTGTATGATGTAGTAGTGTGTGTGTTATGATATTAGAGGCAGTCAGGCAGGGTGTATGTGTAGTGTCTATATGATACAGGCAGGGTGTATGTGTAGTGTCTATATGGTATAGGCAGGGTATTTGTGTGGTGTCTATATGATACAGGCAGGGTGTATGTGTAGTGTCTATATGATACAGGCAGGGTGTATGTGTGGTGTCTATATGATACAGGCAGGGTGTATGTGTAGTGTCTATATGGTATAGGCAGGGTGTATGTGTGGTGTCTATATGATACAGGCAGGGTGTATGTGTAGTGTCTATATGGTATAGGCAGGGTGTATGTGTAGTGTCTATATGGTATAGGCAGGGTATATGTGTGGTGTCTATATGATACAGGCAGGGTGTATGTGTAGTGTCTATATGGTATAGGCAGGGTATATGTGTGGTGTCTATATGATACAGGCAGGGTGTATGTGTAGTGTCTATATGGTATAGGCAGGGTGTATGTGTAGTGTCTATATGGTATAGGCAGGGTATATGTGTGGTGTCTATATGATACAGGCAGGGTGTATGTGTAGTGTCTATATGATGCAGGCAGGGTGTATGTGTAGTGTCTATATGGTATAGGCAGGGTGTATGTGTAGTGTCTATATGGTATAGGCAGGGTGTATGTGTAGTGTCTATATGGTATAGGCAGGGTATATGTGTGGTGTCTATATGATACAGGCAGGGTGTATGTGTGGTGTCTATATGGTATAGGCAGGGTATATGTGTGTGGTCTATATGATACAGGCAGGGTGTATGTGTAGTGTCTATATGGTATAGGCAGGGTATATGTGTAGTGTCTATATGATACAGGCAGGGTGTATGTGTAGTGTCTATATGGTATAGGCAGGGTATATGTGTGTGGTCTATATGATACAGGCAGGGTGTATGTGTAGTGTCTATATGGTATAGGCAGGGTATATGTGTGGTGTCTATATGATACAGGCAGGGTGTATGTGTAGTGTCTATATGGTATAGGCAGGGTATATGTGTGGTCTATATGATACAGGCAGGGTGTATGTGTAGTGTCTATATGGTATAGGCAGGGTATATGTGTGGTCTATATGATACAGGCAGGGTGTATGTGTAGTGTCTATATGGTATAGGCAGGGTATATGTGTGGTCTATATGATACAGGCAGGGTGTATGTGTAGTGTCTATATGGTATAGGCAGGGTATATGTGTGGTGTCTATATGATACAGGCAGGGTGTATGTGTAGTGTCTATATGGTATAGGCAGGGTATATGTGTGGTCTATATGATACAGGCAGGGTGTATGTGTAGTGTCTATATGGTATAGGCAGGGTATATGTGTGGTCTATATGATACAGGCAGGGTGTATGTGTAGTGTAGGGACGAATGGTAAAAAAATGAGGCTGCGCACGGGGCTCCTGCTACGGGCTCTGTCTCTGCTGGGGGTCGTGGCCGTGGTGATGCTGCTGTGGATGAGCTCCTTGGGTGGCTTCGGAGACGTGTCCGTGAGTACCCTTCGATCCATCATCCACCCACCCACTAGTCCCTGTGTACAATCAGTCTGTCTATGAATCCACTCACCAGTATCTGCGTCCATATTTCCAGGAATGTGTCGATCCACCTTACGTCAATTCATCCATCCATGTTTCTGTCCCTCCGATCAGTCCATTCGATTATTAATCAACTCTGCTTTTACCTTTATCCATCTATATATGTCTGCCCTTATGTTCATCCCTCCATATGTGCAATCCCCAATTCCTCCATCTCTCTAGCAATTCCTCTATACAGCCAGCCAACTATCTGCAAGTCATTCTCTATGCCAATCCCTCCGTCCACCAATTCATGCATAAATGTCATCAAGTCTGCTGTGTTCAAATCAAGTCTGCTGTATTCATCAATGTCTATATTTTCATCCCGCTACACATCCAACCACAAATACACCAGCCCGTCGTTAAGTCAATATATCCATGCCCACGAGCAAACCATCCATCCCCTCGATCCGACCATCGCGTTTATCCTTACATCCACCAAACTATCCATCTACTAATTCATCCATACGCCCCTCTATGCAGCTCTCTATATATGCATCCACTTATCAAGCCAGCTCTCTAGGTATGTGTCTAGCCATCCAATCATCCAGCCACAAATCCACGAAAATATTAATTAATCTCGCCATCCCTTCTATCCATGGGTGCACCTCGCCCTCTGGTCACACATCCCTCTATCAAGCCCTGCATCCCTCTGTCCATCCATATAGGCAACAAATCATCCCCCTGACTGTCAGTTAATTCGTGATTCTATCTAACCAGCCATCGCTCGTTTCATCACCCACATAATCATTCATCCAATCCACGCTTCATCTCTCTATCCAAGCTCACATGCCTACAACCATCAACTTCCCCATCCACACTTACATCCCCTGCAGCCATCCCTTGGCTGAATGTTGCTTCCAGCGTGCGCAACGCGCGCCTTGGCTTTATTATACTTCCTTGTGTTTCTATCGGATTCCTTTCACCATTCATTGATGATAATGGCAAGGTACATACTATACTTGTAAGTGTGCAAATGTGTAATATGTGTCTCTGCATAGCACACGAAGATCTCCCCTATAGCCTTAAAAGACTGTTGGGTCAAGTGCTGTTAGCGAGCGCCTATGAAAGCCAGAACGGCACACGAGGGGGTGGGTGGCCAGCACTACGCCCAGCCGCCTTTGTCTTTCTAATGGCGATGTTTTTACGCACCAGGTACTCATTTGAGGCCGAGTCGACCTAGGAGAGGCCCAGGACCAGTTCAGATAATCGTCACTAATTTGGGCCGTGAGCAGGAATCGAACTGGGGTTCGCTAACCGCGCGCTGCGCTTTGTGTGTACAAAGACACATGCCAACTTGTATGCACACCATGCTGTTAACACCAATTAAAAAAACACTCCAATGGCATTATACAGCACCTGTGCGGTGATGAATCAATAGAGCTGGTACTCTAGATATAGTGTATTCTACGTGGACCCGTCATAATAACGTGGAATTTCCACTACTTGCTCAGGACACAAGTGTCGACATGCACTACCCAATACTTCTTTAGGCAACGGTGGCACCTCATGGGTTTGATATAGCCCCGTGTGTGCGTGTGCATTACAACGATCTATGCTGAATTGCGTTGTGTGTACCCGGTATGTATGCATGCTGAATTTATTTCGCACCGTACGTATCCTGCGTACCCTCCACATGTGTGTGTGTCTATGTGCTGGGAAATCTTTCAGCCTCACCTCGCAGTTGATAGAGAATGGCAGCCCTTGTCTTTCACTCTGTGCCTTAATGTGGAGATCCATTTATTGGATATTGGTCCTATACAATAATGCCTTTGTGTGCACGGCGCACGTGTGTGTGGCGTGTACACGTGTACGCGTGTATGCATTTGTGTGCATGCGGGGTGAGCAAGCGTTGTAAGCGCACTCGGCTACGGACCTGACAACCTGAGTTCGATTCCCGGCCACAGCCAACATCAGTGGCAAATTCCTGAACCGGCCATGGGTTTGCCCAAGTTCAACTCAGCTTCAAATAAGTGTGTGCGGACATCGGCATTGTTGGGGGCACACCGTTACACGTGTGCGCTCTTCTAGCCCTAATAGGTGCTCGCAAATAGCACTTGTCTCAAAAGTCTGAGAAGGTTTCACGGACGATGTACGTCATCGTATCTGCCGCGCGTATTACGAGCAGGGGCAGTGCCGGATTATCCGAGTAGCAAAAGTAGCTACACATGTAGTAGCTACGGTCCCCGCACTTTCACACAAGTAGCTACACATGTAGTAGCTACATATGTAGTAGCTACATGTGTAGTAGTTACATATGTAGTAGCTACACTTGGAGCTACTACACATGTAGTAGCTACCGGCCCCGCACTTTCAAGGGCCCGCGCTAAATGCTTTCAAGCTATCAATTCCGGTTCAGTGATTCTGCACTTGCTCTATTACTATAGTACTATACCACCTTCCACTTTTATGAACTACTGCGTGTTTAAGGTTAGCGATTTGTCGTATTATCTGGCTGTATAGCAAATAAAAAAATGCAATTACCTTTATTATGCAAGTTAAAAATGTGTGTTTTAATATCGATGCGTGTTTTTTTTATTTAGGGCCCCTTTATAACATATGCTACACGCCCCGCACTAGCTTCATCCGAGCACTGAGCAGGGGGTGTCACGTACCGCATTGGGCCATTAAGCTGCAGGAAATGACTTCTTGGCCGTTCATCGACGATCATTAACGAGGCGTCACACCCACACTCGTGTTCCCCACGTAAATCGCAACATCGGTTGTTCAAACAAGTGCGCACCTGCGTACGTGAACGCGTACGAGCCCACGGACAGATCGTGTTGGTGATCATATTGCTGCTGCTGCTTTGCGAAATCGTTCCCCGAGCGTGAATAAGGAGTGCAATCACGCTGTGGATTTTCAAGGGAAAGAATACAATAGGTGACGTTTCGGGCAACCCTTATGCAATCAGTCTCTCTGGCCTCTTCGATGTATAAGCTATATAAAGGGACATTGACCAAAACGTTGCCCATCGTATAGTTTTACTTTTAATGCCACAGTTGTTGTTGACGAACGTTTTGAGTGTTTGTTGTTGTTGTTATTTACGGACAGATGTGCTGGCCACCTTTGTTGGGATTTTATTTTGTATCACAATTGACCGAGCGCACAGACCCAAAGGCAGTAACTCAAAAGCGGTTAGCAAAAGAGCACTTACTACAGCCGTGCAGCAGATAGGAAATGGGACTTTTTTATTTGACAAACGGGACCTTTTTTGCCAGTATTGCCAAGTAAGGGTAAAACCTATTCTCATTTTTCTATCCTTTGGTTCTTTCAGTAAAGTCACGTAGATGGAAAAATAATAAAATGATAGAAAAAAACGACGACGTTTCGATCGCAACACAAGCAGGCTAACAAATACAGCAGGCGGACTGCAGATTTTTTAAAAATCATTTTATTATTTTTCTATCTACGTGACTTTACCGAAAGAACCAAAGAATGTTATGTCCTGCAGCCACGAAAGCTTTAAGTCAAGACTTATTCTCATTAATTTCATTATTTTTATTTCATACAGCAGATAAGAACTAATACGTTTCTGAAATTGAGTGAAAGTTATAGTAACGTGGGAATTACGTTGCTGTAAGGAAGTCCCCCCCCCTCCGCCCCCGAAGCCGGCAACTAATCACAGCGATGATAGTGCAGCGAGATAATAGCTAACACGTGTCCTTGAATTGAGCCAGGGTCAGAGGAACTTGGGGGGGGGGAGGAAGAGGCAACGGAAGTTCGAGAGTTGAGCCGTGCGATGAGAGTAAGGAGAGGGAGAGTGAGATGCTGTGCCCTGCAATGCAGTGGTGGGAAACGCAGCGCGGGTGGAGATGCAAAGAGAGAGGGAATCCAATGGACGGGAGAGCCAGCAAGGTGTGAAGCTTTTGGTGCTGTAACGGCCACGGTGATAGCCGTCAAAGACTGACAAGGGAAGTGACCACGACGCTGAGCGAGTATACTGGAGTGAAGCGGGCAAAAGTCGAGGAGGCTGAATCAACCCCAACCGGTCGTTTCAAATTCCAGCGATTCACCATCCGCACGCCGCCGTGTCGGTCATGGGGTTGTTGATTTTTGTTTTACCAAAATGTGCCAATGCCGGTTTAGTGACGTTTGAGGGAGGGCAGTACCGCTTCTGTTATCGTTTGCCACGGATGCGAGCCGTGGCTGAGAGTCAAGCTCCAGTCGCCTTGCTAACCGCTGCCCCACAGCTCCTCACGATGGTTTTTATCATCGGTTTTCACCACCCACTCCCCCCTCCACGAGGTCAAGAAAGCCTTTCAAGTTCGGGGGGGGGGGGAGGCGCAGGCTGCGGCATAGATACCGTGCAGGAAACGCACTTATACACACAACACGAACCACGTGGCTGGCTGACCCCGCAGTGACTAGGGGCAGCTGTCAGCTCCAGCAACCCGTGCACGCCAAGGGAGACGTTCAAGTGCCATGAGTGGGAGCTGGAGGGGCGGGCGGGCGGGCGGGCGGTGCGTGGCGGAGCGGTGGCGCAGCGATTAGCGCTACGCTGCGCTACGAACCCGCCGACCCGAGTTCGATTCCCGCTCACGGCCAACAGCGGTGACGATTCTCTGGACCGGTCCTGGGCTTCTCCTAGGTCGACTCAGCCTCAAATGAATACGTGGGTGCGCTGTGTAAAACATCGCCACTGGAGAGACAAAGGCGGCCGGGCTTGGTGCTGTGGCCACCCCCTCGTGTGCTGTGCCGGCCTTCATAGGTGCTACTCGCGAACAGGACTTGCCCCAACAATCTGCTAAGGCTATACGGGGATCCTTTGTCTTTGGTGTGTGGGCGGTGAGGATGCACAGGGATAAGTGCTAATGATGGAGTAGGGGGGGGGGCCGCTATACCACCAGAAAAGTTTGAGAAGGAATCACTGGGATGAGGCAGAAACCCTCTTCCCTTTGACTGCCGTTTCGGCC